GTCAGTGCTGCGGAGCTGGGCGCGGAGCCGGCCCTGCGGAGGCGTTGGCTGGGCCTGCCTCGAGCAGAGCGCGGGAAGCCGCCCCTCTCCCCCTCAGAGCACGTTCAAAGGGGTTTCTGCTCATGAGCGCTACGTGACTTTTTATTGTCGTCGTCTTGCGACAGAAACATCCCCTTGGGTGTGCTACTGCTGCCGGTAGTACCCAGCTCCTTGCGGGAGAGTCGTGGCCTCTGGTTGGCCATGCGCTGTGTGGGTGCAGCTTTGGGGGCTTTCCTGGTGATGGAGTTAGATGTTTGCCTTGGGAAAGCAGAGGGGTGACAGGGCTACTGCTGTTACGCACAAAACTTGCGTTCACAGAGTCCGTTTCTAATAGCAAGTCTTGGCGTTCTCATAAAATCTGTGAGTGCTGAGGCTGATTGAGGAGGTGAGACACCAGCCCCATAGTTCTGTGGTGCCCAAATGGGGTTCTCCTCACTCTAGTGCTTTATGATGCCTTAAAGTAGGTATTTTGTGTTAAAATGGCCAGTTTTAATGTTGGAATAAAGTTTGTTATTCTAATACGATTCAGTTGTGGCTTCTGTGCTACACATGGAAGCAGTGATGCCAGTAATTCTAATTACAGTGGTAGAGTGGTAAACCTGCGGGGTTTCGCTGTAAGAATTTTCTGTGTTGTGCAGTCTGTAAATTTTTTGTCATATCGGGTGCCTTGTCCACCTTTATTTTTCTTAGCCTGGCTCACTCAGTAAGTCATGCACTGCATCTCCACTGAAAGTGGAGACAGTAACACTTATCAACATCCTGGGGAATTCAGGTTGGAAAGCACTATTACATACTACTAAAAATATGGTTAATTCTGTGCAAGCAGCTGCATTTACATGAAAGTATTTTAAATTATTTTCGTTAAAAAATCTAAGAACCTTGACTTAAAGCCAAGGCAAGAGGCTCTAAAGTTCTCATTTGTTTTAAAAGACTAGAGTTAATGTTAAACAAATATTTATTGTATACTCATTTTTATTGTTTCAAACCAGAGTTAATACCTTTAGAAAGAAATGCTTGTTTAGGAGAAAAATATGTCTTTAAAGTCTTCTGCATAAATGTTGTACTTCTTTGTACTTTCAGAGTATGAAGCAGAACAGCCTCAATTTCCAGATGTTTCTGAATCAAATCACGGACCTGTGAGTATAGTTCAAGCAAAAAATCTGCATAGGGCTGGTTTTAAAAGGTTTTAAATAACTAAATAGGAAAATTAGGTACTCACAGAGCAGACTCATTCATAAAATGAAAACAAAACTACATTTTGCAAACAACTTTTGTGAATCCACAAATGTAATATTCCAAATCACTGCTTTTATTCAAAGCAACTTGAGTAGCGCTATCCTAAAATTAGCTTCCCAGCTGTGTTTGGTTGTACATTCGCTGTCGTCTTTTCTGCGGCTGGCTGCTTCGTAGGCAGGGCCCTGAAGAGTGCAAGGATCTCCCTTGGGCAGTGATGCAAGCAGAATGAGCACTGAGAGGGGAGCAAGTGCAGCGAAGGAGTTATGCCCCAATTTCACGTCTGTGATGGGTCACTTAGATGTGGCCATTGAAGTTAGGGCAATTAAACCTGATCAAACTTGTTTGAAGTGTAATTTTGACCAAATAAATTCAGAATAAGAAGACTTGTTTGGCAGGCATAAAAACTTAAGAAAGATAAACCACTTTAAGTCTTTGTCCCCAGCAATTCTAGCAGCAGCAAAATTAATTCTTTTGGGCATCATGCACAGAGTTAAATTTCATCTAAATTAGGCATTTTTGTAGATGTTTTATCTTATTATTCTGTATTTAGGTTACTTTGTTATTGTAAAACTATTTTAAGATGTTGTAGTTTAAATTGTCAGACAGTTGGCCTCTTTCGACCTGTCCCCAAAATGAAACTGGCTTCCTGCAGGCTGTTACTGAATTTGAGTAGTGAACTCTGCTTGGGGCGTTAGTCTGGGCATAATATATTGATATATTTGAACATCGAAATAAAATAATATACCTTTTTATGTTGATGCACTTTTTTTAATTTCCAAAAAGATCATTGTTTTGAATCTTGCATGTGGCTATCTGCAGTCGTATTATAAGTGTAGTGGCCTGACCCCACCACCTGCTTTTCAGTAGCTCATAAATCCAACTGAATTTTAAAATGAAACTGTTTAGATGATATAGTTTTTATAGTGCGTTTTCGTGGCAAACTCTAATGGTGGTGTGTTCTTGGGGATAAAAGGGTGTGTCTGCCTTTCTGCAACAGGTGTTGCTCAGTGGCCGTTAGGAGTGTTCTTCCAGCTTGGTCATAGTTGATGCACTCCTAAAAGCCATACGTCAAACTGTGGACTCTCTGTTTTCATGGTGTCCATGATTGTTTCTGTATGGGGAAACTTAAGATTTGGATTTGCGTCTGCTCTGTGCTTTGTTTAGAAGGAAAGTTTATTTTCTTTAAAAGGTGAGTGTCAGGACTTCTGAACAATACAGAAACAAATATATAAGCTTGTGAGTGGAAAAATTCTTATTCAGAAAGTGTTACCAATTTTAATTTTCATAAATTACAATTTCTTGCAATGGCTAAAATACTTTTAAATTGTGATATCTCACCGTATTCTCTTAAGAGCAGTCATATACCTTCTGTTAGGTTTGGATGGGTTTATCATGCTGGAAACTGCAGAATTTTTTAAAATGTAATTCTTTCTTTTAAAGTACTCAGAAAATACTGAAATAATATAATATTTTAATTAGAAATTATAATTCCGTAGTTTTTTAACTGACCGTATCATTTTTCTTGTTGAACTGGCTTCTGTAATTTTTTACCATCTGATTGGAGTATTTATATAGGTTACATTTGTCTTGAACAGGTGTCTTTGGAAGGAGGAATATTGCAGCCATTACATATGGGACCATTTTATGTAGCCCCTGCAGCTCATCCCGTTGTCCAACAGTTGATTCCCATACCTGAGGCAGCCCCCTTTCCAGAACCACCTGATCCAAAAACATGTAAGTATGGGTATATTCTCTTGAACTCTACTGTGATTATTTTCTAGCATTTGGTTTGTCATTTGTTGAATTCAAAGTGTTAACAGCTACAACACCTTTTCTGAAGTGGAATTTGCATGGTTAGTCCCCTGGTCTGTAAACAGGGAGCCAGCTTGGCTACTTGGTCCATGGGAGAAGGCTCAAATGGTGCGTTACAAATCAGCAGCATTGTCTAGCTGTTAAGGTAGCTCTGTTCTCTTCTGAATAAGTGACTTTATGTTTAGCCACTTAAATCGGAGAAAGGCAAGCATTTCTTCCTCTAAATTAATAGTGCAAAACTAGGATCAATAGACTAAATAGACAATTGAGTTTGAAAACTGCTTTCAAAATATTATCTTTGCCCATCTGATTACAAATTAGAATGGAAACAGATCAAAAGTTTTGTCTTTCCATTTTTATCAATTTCTATACTTTATAAAATTTACCAAGTAGCAATATATTTTTATTAAGCATTTTAGCCCTCCTTTTTGTCTTTTCTTCTCTTCCATTCATTCTTGCTTATTAGGAATTCCTGTTGCTAGTCAGAAGCAGTGTTACCCTTGCCTTTTATATATATATATATATATAGTGTCCTTCCAATTATGAACATTTTCTGGCAGCGTGTGAACCAGTTAAAGGTATAAAGCAGAGAATAAATACAGTATTTCAGCTGTGTTGCCAAAAGAAAACACTTCTGTGGCTTAAACTTTACTGACCACACTAAAACCGGAATACTTGCTGAATGACAGGCAGTCTGGCTTTAAATCAAGGACAGCACTTCAGCCGATAACCCTGCTTGTCTAGGATCTGAGCAGATTTTGGTTTGCTCACCTTTCTGAGGGAAGTGCTCTTATGGCTTCACACAGGGTCATGCTCCCTGTTCCCTCTGGCCCAGTGAACTTGAGTTCCTCCATGTGCAGGCACAGAATCACAGAATGTCAGGGGTTGGAAGGGACCTCAAAAGATCATCTAGTCTGACCCTCTGCCAGAGCAGGACCACCTCCAGCAGATCACACAGGAACGTGTCCAGACAGGGTTTGAATGTCTCCAGAGAAGGAGGCTCCACAACCTCTCTGGGCAGCCTGTTCCAGTGCTCTGTCACCCTCACAGTGAAAAAGTTTTTCCTTATGTTAATGTGGAACCTCCTGTGCTCCAGCTTGCCCCCACTGCCCCTTGTCCTGTCATTGGCCATCACTGAGATGAGCCCGGCTCCGTCCTCCTGACACTCGCCCTTTATGTATTTATAAACGTTAATGAGGTCACCCCTCAGTCTCCTCTTCTCCAAGCTGAATATGTCTTCATCCGAAGAGGCAGAAGTCTCCTCCCTGTCACCTAGTTTATAAATTGATGGTGAAATGTCCTGTTAGGGAAGAGGAAGATGTGGAGAAAAGCTGAGAAGGAAATGGAGCTTGAGTCTCTTCAGTTGAGCAAGCATGTAGCTGTTAGGCTATATGTAGAGCATGGGCAATAGCACTGCTGGGTTTTAGTGGTGCTGACTGGAGTTGCTTTCTTCTGCATGGAACTTGGTGATGCCAGTGTGTGTGAGCTCATGGGAGCATGGTAAGTAGACCTCATGTAAGGGCAGTGCAGGCAAACATAAAAGAGAGATGCCAACTCAAACAGCCCTCCCAAGGTGGAAGAATTTGGTATATGGAGTCATGTTCAAATTTCTGAAGGATCTAGCAAGTAGGAAATAATTATGAGAAAGAACGCACAGCACCACTGAAATACAACCTTTGTTTTTTCCTCTCTCCAGAAATTCAGTTTTATTACCAACTCTGTTGCTGCAGATTGTAAAGTGCGTGAGGTACCAAAAAGTATGGGTACCAAAAGTGGTCTAGCTGTAACAGCACTGAGTTCAGTGCAGGCTAATTTACTTTTCTTTCTGTCAGGGTAAATTAGTCCACATCGCCTTTCATTTCCGTGGGTAAACAGCTTCTAGTGTCTGAGTTTACTCATTTAAAACTAAGTCTGACATCTCTGAGGCACACTATAGTTTGTGGTGTTGATGTACCTCTAGTTTGAAATTTACTCAATGTAAACGTTGTCTTGGCTGAAGAGAAGTGAAGACAGATCCATGGTGGTATCTGAATTGGATGAACCTGTTCAAGCTGTGCTGGTATTGATAAAATGATTGATACTTAGTTTATGATGTCTGATGTTTGACTTTTTGTGAAATCTAAGTGCTTACCTGCAAGTGAAGGCTGTACTGTTTTGCTCAGGTTCTCCTCGAGAATACTTAGAGTATTACATATTTCCAGTACTCTTACCTGGATTGGCTGAACTTCTGCATCGAGCAAAGAAGGAAAAGTGTTTCGAGGTTAGTTTTTGTTTTCAGTTCCAATCATTGGCAGGAAGTTACAGCCTTTTATTTTACAGGCTGTATTTCTTTATTTGATCTTTTGTGAGAAAACCAACGACAATAATATGAAATAATGTATCATGAGTTGTTTTGGATCTGGTCTTGAGTGTTGTTTTCTCCGGTAATTCAGAACAGACTGTGTACTACATGCACTTAAACATTATGAAAATCTCTAACTCGCCACAAATCCTCCTTAAATATCCAGTTGTATCTAGCCTAAATAGTGTTGAATTTTAGAGAAACAGGCTTCCTTTCAGACTAATACGCATCACTCATTTGAGGGTGACATAAAAAATTTGAATTTTACTTCATTACTCAGTTATTTTTGCTGGGCTGGCATCCTAGTAGAGGTACATTTTGTATTTTCACTTTTTAACATTCTGTCTGAGTTCCACTTAGTTGGAGAGCAGAGTGCTCAGCGTTAATGAACTTATGAAAGTTGTACATTTTACAAATCGTTGTTTGCTACATATGTTTTTATAAACTTTTTTCAGTGTATGTATGCGTAAACATGTCTAGAGAGACTTTCCTCATTGTATATAGGGAGTGCTTAAAAAAGCATTAGAACTGGTGCAACGTAAAGCTCATTGTATCACCATAGGCTAACTCACAGACCCCCAGCCATGGATTAGGTATGGAGAGTTGTGGGGTTTTCCGTAATTTCTGCTATTTTCTCCAGCCATGGAAGTAATTTTTTTTCAATTTCTTTCCTACTTTCTGCTTGTCATCCACACTTTCCAGTGTAAAACTTCTCTATATTTTCATGCCTTCAGCTGAGCCTCCTCTTACTTGCAGCTTCATAATATAAAGAGCAATTAATATAAATGACAGTGAGAATATGTTCCTTTTTGTACATGAAACACATCTGAGGAATACAGTTTGTGCTCTTGGGGTTATAGATTAAAATGTTACAGATTAAAATGATAGCAAAGTGAGGTGGACTTTATGTTACTATTGGGTTATTAATCATCTTAGGTCTTGATCTACCTCCTCTTCAGCTGCTGACATTGACTTCCTGTTACAGGTGTGTGTATGTATGATAACAGACATTGTGGAACAATTTGTAAAAATTACACGTGTGCTGTTTGCCACTGACCTACCTCACATGCCTGGCACAGCCAAAACTACCCAAAGTTACCGTGCTTGAAGGGACACCCCAAACTTGCATTTCAAATCCAAGTCTGTACATTTAGTGACAGTAAGTTATTTCGATTTTTGCTCAGTCTTCAGCAGATTTGCGTGTGTCTATAAACTGATTGATTTATAGGTGTGTGTAGATGTATTGATGTATAGATGTGTGTATATGTGTGATTAACACAGGTGGAATAGGAAAATGCTTCATTTACATGTCGTTATGGCATGACATCTCTGTACATCATTCCTGCCATCACATTTACGTTACTTAGACAAGAACAGATTGAACATATGTATTATTCATCACAATTTTAATGACATTTATATTGATTCCTTTTTTTTTTTTTTAAAGGAAGCACATATCCTTTAACAGGAAAAAGGCATGCCTTACAGCTGGCTTAAAATACAGTAATTGATTGATGCTACATATTTCTGAAGGCAATAAACCAGCACTTAATACAAAAATATGAGAATCCTTAGAAATATTTTGGTTTCAATCTCCAGGCAAATTTAAGGTTACTTTTTCTACTTTTAATGTGAGAAATTTTGCAGAGCTTCAGTGGTATATAGATGAGAATGTATCTGTTCTGAAAATGGGTTTTGTATGGATCTGTGTGTTGCTTTATAGTAAACTAATAAAAACAATTATTTTCTAATTTGTAGAAACGTCATAAAAATGAGCACATCTTATCAAAAAGGCACTAAGTGATTTTTGTGGTTGTAGAGAGGTGTCCTGCTATTGGGGAAGGAAGTTTAGGAAAGCAAGCTTATGTCAGATGGTCATTTTCCACTGTGACATCACTTCTTCCTCCTTTTGAACAATAACTAGTAGAACAATAGCTCTTTATGTTTGCCATGTAACTGAATATTTGTGTTCTTTTCCACTACTGTCCAGGTGTTTGTACTTGGACATTCTGTTTCCTTATCTGACATAAATACGTAATTTCTAATTGTTCTTGTGTTTCATAAGAAATGTCTTGTTCCGTATGGATTTGGAGAAAAAAACATGCTATAATTTACATTAAAATAGTTAGTGCAATAACTGGAGCTGATTTTTAGGATCAAAACCAGAGCCTTTAGAAACCCAGGGAAAATCAGGGACAGGGAGACAGGATCCTGTGATAAATACACCAGAAGATAGCTTCAAAAAGTAGGAGGAGAACAAAGAGTAGAAATATTCATGGAATTCATGAGAGAACAGGAGAGGAACATGGTTAATTGTGATTAAGCTAACTGAAATCATGAAAGATGAAAACAGAATACCAGGTTTGAATTTTGTCTAGACATGAGTCATTAGAGCCTGTAAAGAGCAGCTCCAATAGAATAAACCAGTGGAAGATAAATGGAAGAAGCACTGGAAGAAAGGGAGGAACAATCAAACTGGCTGCAGTCAACATTGAATGAGGCTGGGAGGAGGGAGAGGGAATGGTGAGGGAGAATGAAGAGTGGGATTTCGATGAGAGGGACTAAACGTTTTCATGTTTTGAAAGGGAATGAAGATGAATGAGCAGAAAATGAAAAATTAATAGGAGAGTTGTTTAGCAGTTGAAATTGGGGTAAGGGAGCTCAGATCATGGATGCAACAGGGGAATTCAAGGAGGAGATCAGAAAAGACACATCCATGTCTGGAAAGGAAGTATTGTAGAATCAGATGGGAAAGTCAGGAAAGGGAGACGGTTATGCTGAAAGTAGTCATTTGTGTAGGAAAGAAATCTGCAAGGTCTTATTTGGAAGGTGATACAGAAACCAACAACTTAAATATTTCATTTAAAATAGGCTGTCTTGCATTATGTAGTGCATATCAAAAATCTGAAAAGCAAAAACCTAGAAAAAACTCCAGCTGCTAGATAGATTTGCAGACTTCAAATTGACATAAATATGAGAACAGTCTGCAGACGCTTCATTTTTTGATTAGAGATTAAAGAAACCTATTAGGTTGCCCAATGTATTCCCTTGGTGATTTTTTTTTTTATTCCCTACCATAATTTCTCCTGTGCTTTATCCTATCTGCTGTCAAATCTCTCCAGAGGAAGGACTATTTTCTTAAATCTTTACTCTCATGAGAACTGGCTAATGCATTCATTTTTCAGTATTAAAACTGAACAAAGTTTAAATGTTTTTATTAGCATAACTCTGATTTTTCTTTCTGATTAGTGATCACAGAAAGAGGATGCTGTATCATACTCTATAATGGAATATATTATATTTAAAAGTGTGATAGATCAGGGAAAGTGAATGGAAGAAGGTTTCCTAATGACTTTGCCATCTCCTGATCGCTCGTATTTTTGCATGATTATTACCAAACACTTCATTTATAAACTGAAAAATGGAAAATGAGTCCTGAGTATAAATAGTTTATAAACGCATCTGCAAGTTAACAATGCACATTGTGCAGATATTTCCTGTGTTTATCCTGATTCTTGTAGCGTAGGAGGAATGTGTCAAAGGCAGGTCAATCTATGTCATTTTTTCCCTTCTATAAATATTGACTGCTGTGCAACTAATGAGTTAATTCATTAGCAAAGTGAACTGTTTCCTGGCAAAAATTAGAAAATTAAAAAAATATTCAGCTTGACCAAATTCCTCTCTGATAAGTTCACTGGATCTAACAAGGATAAAGCAAGATGAGTTTCATTCCTTTGGTAATGACTGTTTTGACAACGTTGTTCTGTTTTTTTTCCTGTTGCAAAGGAGAAGCAATTTACTTTAAAAAGATTAAATTACAACTGCTAGATTAAACTGAATTTTGTTGTTAAAGTATAGAATTTATTCTCTGAAACAATTCACTAACTAATGGGACCCAGTGATACTGTGATTGAGAGTAGCTGTACAAAGATGATCAGACCCTGCTATTTGTTTTCAGATTCTGTTCAAGTCAAAATTTGTCCATTTAACATCTAAAATGACCTGTAGAAAGCTCTCCAGTGAAGGTGTTGGTCTCTTAAAGCTTAGGTGTTTGGCTTGTCAGAACAGTGTCTGGTGTTAGCATGACAAGTGTGAAAATTCCTTGAGGTGTGTTTCTTCACAGCCCAGCACTGTAATGGAGGGCTACATGAATCCCAAAGCTTTTGTTGTCGTGAAACAGATCATAAAGGCACTTGGGGTTCAGGACTGAAAATTGTTTTGCATTGTTCTCTTTTCCTGTTGTTCTGTTTTTTAAATAATTTATCTTTCTTTTCTTTGGGAGTCTACCAAGGCTAAGATTCACTTAGAAAAGTAAACGGATATCATCTAGGAATGCCGTGCAGTCTAGCTCTAAACCTCACATTTGTCATCCCCTGGCTACATGCCTACCCTGTATTCTTCACTGTGCAGTTAGCACCTCACATGATGTTCCGCTTCCAATTCACCTGTGCCTGAAGTAATACACTGACCCTCGCGTTATGCCATGTGCTAATACCCCAAACTTAGAAAGAATTATGCCTTGTGAAGCATGTATTTTCTGCCTCTCTCTTCATATCCCCCAGTCCTTTTTGCATCATATTGTAGCATACAGGGAAACACAGATGGTGAGGAAAATACATCGAATAAAGTCATCCGTCATTCATTAAATTTCCAATTACATATCTATTGTATTTTTCTTAGTAAGCGGTAGTAGTACCTTCATTTCTTACATTTCAATCAAGACTGCAACCTCTTTCATGAAATGCCACAGTTTTGCAAATGTGTTTGACCAGTGTGAATTGTTTTCCTAAAAAGTAGTAATTGCAGTTGAACCTCCTCTTTGACAGCATAAGTATTACCTTCTGGATTGGAGCTAGGCTTTCTGCTAGCTAACTGGCTGCTATTTTGATAAAGCACTTGGTGTCTCAGTTCTGCGGGGGCTTAATGTCTTTTAGTGTTCACTGTCTGGCTGTGTACAACCATAACGCCTCATGTAAGAGGGGTTCAGAAGATACTAGTCAAGCTCTTCTGTTACTCTGACCAGAACTTTACGTTATATTCTCCACATCATAGTTACTCTGCTTTGTGATAAGCAGAAGAAGCACCTGTACTCATTTGTACTTTCAGTCTGTAAAGATGGAATGCGGAGAGGAAATCCCTAAGAAAAGGAAGGCCCTAATCAATTCCATGTTGATCAAAATTCGTCCTTTGAATTTTGAACTCAAAACATATTTTACAGCATGCAGTGCCGTCCAGCTAAACAGGTACTGGCTGCATGAGTCACCACAGATAACCTGCTGCAAAGCACTGTGCAAAATTCTCTTTGGTGGTGAAGAAGTCTTAGAACTGGGAGCAAAGGGCACAACTGTTTTGCTCTGAAGCTCCAGGCTTTGAACTTTTTTACCTGGTTCTCTGTAATGTTCATGGTGGCTGTGGTTGTGGATATACATATGCATTGTCTCTGCCTTTCTGGACTATCCAACAGACAATTTTATCTGAGCACCACCCAATACTCTGCTGTGTATGTGTTTCTGCGTATGCACAATGTCTGCGAGCTGGTTCTGTGCAGCAGGAAACAATATTCCATCAAGGTTCCTTTTGTGTCTTGGAAGTAGTAAAGTATTTTAAGAATGATAATTGAACTTTGAACAAAATGGCAAGTAATTTACAACATGTTTTCATATATGAGTTCTGTTAACTTCTTTGCAATGAGATTGCAACTTAGAAAGAATACCATTCAGAGATATTTGCTATAGCTGTACTGCAGCACATATCATGATAGTATATGTAAAATTTTCTCACTTTTTTTGACTTGAATTGAAAGCATTCCACAAAATTTCTGAAATTTTGGCTGAGCCACTGACTGTTGGCAGTAGCAATATTAAAGTAGACAGAGTAATGTACTGTATATTTTATTTAATAAAAGCAGTCAGTTTAGCTTCTGTTCCTCTCCAGTAGTAAAAACATGTGACCAATCCAAAGATAATAAATAATTTGAAACTATCTTCTGTCTTTAGAGAAAAAGGACCAAATTTATTGCCTGTGATTTCCTAACTGAGTGGTTATACAAGTAAGTTAATAATGGCTTTTACTATTAATTATGCTCAATGATTCAAATGCATTAATTTGCAAATAGAATAGCAGGAATTTAAATTAATATGACTTGTTTTCTTTTTCATTGTTGTTGTTATCAGCAAGAACCCAAAGAGGAAAGATGAGTCGTTCACAGAATTCTTTTCCATTCCTTTTGTCAACGACTGGCTAAAGGACCAGTAAGTTATTGCAGTACTTGGAGTAACCTTTTCTGCCTTTATTCTTTTTCTTGTGCTATTCCAAAAAAAGTAATAGAGCTCCAATGCGTTACAATTGTGCCCTCTAATGCCCTTCACTGTGTGCAATGAAGAACTATGTGATGCTTTCTAACTTGGTAGTGTGTTAGTTACGTGGTATTTTGTACCAGAATTGTTCACAGAGAAATTAGTTTAGAATTCTTTAACATTTTAACTGTAGGGTGCAGGGCATTCGCATAGTCTGGTAGTATCATGAGTATCTTTGTACTAAGGAGCAAAGCAGTGTTTTCAATGCTGTTTCCTACTATGAATATCTTTGAGGATATACAGTCTAGAAATTCTTCCTCTAACTGTAAGCAGCTGTTTTAAAAATACCTGTAATAGTCCTTGGCATCAGGATGCATTTCTGCAGACATTTATGACTTTGCATCTGATAAAGGAATGGTTGTTTTGGCAGCCTCAATCATATATTCCTCATTACTCCTGTAGAACCAAGCTACACGGTAGTTTTGAAAGAAATGTTACTGTCCTTGAGACTGCAGTTTGTGTTACAGTGTAGCTGTTGTATGAGAAAAGAAGAAAAGTAAAATGACAGTCCACGGTGAATAATAGTAAGAAAATTACAGAAGTCAGATTTTAAAGAAAATTTTCAGTTTGAAAACTTAATTGGAGGCTAGGTTGATGGTTGGTGAAAACTTAAGAGATTAATATCTTTGTCGATATGTTTCCTTCATCACAGTATGTGAGTGGAAATTGAGCTTTCTTGAACTCTTGTCATGTGAAACTTGGAACCCTTGAGTCACTGATCCAGCAAGAGGAAAGCTCCTTGGCATTCACAGATCTTTGGAGACAAGCTGGTAATTGTGACAGGAACAGTTAACTTTGACTATCTTAGAGGTAGTCATGTGGTCAAAGTTGTGTAGGAAGTTTCTGCAGTAAGAGATAAACATCTTTGTAGAGTGATCCATTTCATCTCAACTCCGGTATCTTCAGGTAGCTGCTACTGCATCATACTGCCCAGCCACTGTTGTTCAAACCTGCCACTGGTGGGACACTTCTAAGTTTCCTTCTGTAGATCCCTAAGTCTTGCCAACAAGATTCCTGTTTAAGGCAGTGAATTTTGTAGCTTGGAAACCGATTATGAACGGCAGTGAGGTGGTCATTCTCGTTCCTAAGCATACTGAAGAGCCACCGGTGAGTGAGGCAGTTTTGATGCCACTGGATTCTGAGGATGGATATTGGTACCTAAGATAAATATCTAAGATCACAGTTTTACAAATGTTTATCTTGGAAGTAAATCTAACCTAAATGGTTCCCTGCTCTCTCCAGTTTTGAACCTCAGCCTGCTGGTAGGCAACCTAGTACCACCCTGGCTGTTTCGTACGATGCTTGGTTATTCTGATCAGGGACCTCCTCCAAGTTAGAAATCTCTCTGCCAAAATGTGAGAGGAGGGTTTGTATAGCTATTTGACATATAGATAATTTCTCCAGTCTGGTTCACCTGGGAGCCTGACTAACCTTTATATTGGCACAAAGGATTAAAATGAAAGGCTCAGGGCAAGGCGAAGAGAACAAATGAGATGGTAAGATATAGAGGTGGTGACAGGAACTGCTTAAGTCAGCTTTGCCAACAAGAGGAACACACTGTGGAATCACAGCCTGAATGACTCATAGCTTCTGTTAGTACTTGTGCTCCTAAATAATGTAGTGACAGCTCCACAAGGACACTGAAGTGTCGAAGTCCTACTTAAATTGATACGCACTTGATCTTAAGTCCTCTAAACAAGTAGGCCTTTAAAAATAATAATTATTAAAATTATTGTTAGAAAACAACTTTTTGTGAACTTATCTTAAAGTTACAGATTTCTTAACAAATATTGCTTCTGAAGTAAGCATTATTAGAGCAAAGTGAATGATTCCAATATTGAATAGGAATAAAAATGAGATAATTTATTATTGTGTCTTTCTGGATATGTCATAAATAGTTTATTATTATATTATATGCTTCCAGATATCACATTTAAAATCTAGTTGGTTCTATGCTTTTATTGTAATTTCCATTTTTATTTGTAAAGGAGTTTTCATATTTTTTTTAGCAGGATTTATGAGTATATAAGAGACAATAGGCTAAAAAGTGCTGGTCAGATTTTGATGGGAAACATCCTTATCCCAGTTGTTTAGGTGTTATAATAAAGAAAAAAAGTAAAAAGTGTTGCTGCGAATTTAAGGGGTAAGCTCTTGTGTTGCATTTTCAGTTACTTGTCTAAATTTGGAAAGCATTCTGAAAGGTCTGTTAAATAGAAATACATTTCTATACTGTGTTAAAATTGGGTCTTATCAGTGCAAAGCATTCTTCATACTTAAAAAAATAAAAGCAAACCCCCAAAAAAACAGAGGGATAATTTTTTGTTCTATCATAGATCCAGCTTTTTTTAATATATTCCATACTTGAGTATGACTTTTTTGGCTCTCCTCCAGTGCCTCCAGTTTTTTCTTTGAAGCTCAATTTTTTTTTTAAGTATAGTCAAAGCCACAGTGTTATGAGCCTCACTCTCTGTATGATGTGTTTCTAAATGAGATCTTGCAGCCTACTTTTCTTTTATATGGAGACCCAAATGCTGCATTGGTTTCCAGAATTTCATTGTATCTTCGAAAGCTGATTACTGTAGGTGAAGGAGCTTGTAAAATTTTATTTTGTTTCCAGCTTTAGTATTTATAGTAATTACTATGACATTAGTAAAGACAAGCCTCAGTGTAGTTACCTTGTCTTCCCCTGGGTTCTGTATATTACCAGTGGCACTGGCAAAATATTATATCCCTTGGGAATCCTTGGTTCCCGAAGCAGATTTCAAACCAATAGAAGGAGCAGCCTCAACAGTGACTGATAGTCTACATTTCGTGTCCAGGAGAACACAAAACATTTCTGTTGTCTTAAGGGACAGCTGTACCTTTCAGAGGACAGGGAACTGGAGTTTTAACAAGGAACTAACAAACGTATTTGGAAACTTGCTGAGATGCTTCCTGATGTTCCTGTTCCTACATTCAAGACTGCTGATATAGCCAAGTAAAGTAAATAGAATTAGAGCCTTGAATGTTTTGTACTCCTATAAACATGCTAACGAGCAACACAGTTGCCTTTTGTCAGCATTTTGCAGTGGTGTTTCTGGTTGAATAGCGGTGGAGCTCAGTCGCAAGTAACCAAGTGCATGTACTGAATGAGGGGGAGAGAGAGAGAGAGAGTGATCTGTGTTTATGCTCCGATCCCCCTTAAATTTCACTTTTCTGGGATAGGTAGCCTGAGTCTTTATTCTGAGTATCAGGTATCATTACCCAACCTTCTTTAGCATATTAATGAAAGAAATAGAAGAAAACAAAAAAAAAGTTCCACAGCTCTGAAAAATACTGATATCATGATAGTCTACTGTCACATGAATTTAATAATATGACAGTATTGTTCAGGTTCACCTTCAACCCTTACAGTCAATGAAAGAGAATGGTATGTGGATCTAGGTTAGGAATAAGCATAAGTATTTTCCTGGCTGTCAAAGGTCAGTCTTTGTATGTGTATTTCACAGGGGTTACAGGAACTTTTAAAATTTTTATTTTATAAATAATCATCCATTCACAAGATTTTATTTATCTGCATTTTCTCATTTTCTATATAGAGGTATTTACTTGATAGTTCAGAAGGACACATTGCCTGGTTTAATCTATTTGTATGTACCAAGACAAATGTGCAGATACAGAGAAAATAAATTTATCATGGCTTTAATGAAGTGGACAGCTGAGATACAAATATATATATATGTCTATAAATGATGAATAAATCAGAAGTAGTGGCTTTTTGCCAAATATCTGTATATGCATATATATACGTTGATTATTTTTTTTCTCTCTCCCCCCCAATATTGTAACTAGGTGAGGTCTGCTGGTCTCAGCTGCCTTTACAGTTGACTTCATTGTCAGTTCTCAGATGGCCAATAGGGGTAATTTTGCACGGGTGACTGATTTCTTTCTTTCCATAATGTGCTCAGTTTCTACAGGCTTTGCTTTCTGCACACTGCTATATTTCACTGTTTGTCTCTAAATCAGCCATGTTTAGAGTATTTGATTTGCCTTATGTTTTTTATTTATTTTTCTTTAATAATTTCTGCTTTTTTTGGGGGTGGGGGGGTGTATGGTAAGCATTACATTTAATTTCAGTAACAGTAAAGTCCAACAAATATAGCTGTGTGCATGTTATTCTGTGTGGATCCAAGCAAAGAATTGCCATTCCAGTAACGTGGCAGAATTCAAGTTAACAAAGGAGAAATTTTTGACTTAAAAATCTAAAACTGTGTGTTGGAAAATTGTGCAAAGTTTATGTATAAAATATTTATATTGTGTAATGGTGTTTTATGAGGTTGAGGTTTTATGGCTACAAATCCTGGTGTGGTGTTGAAACTTGCCTTAATTTATGTAAAGATTGTCAAAATGGCAATGAGAAAATTGAAAATATATTAGTGTTTTGTGACATCTTCCTAGTGTTGCTGTTAGAAGACTAATTTGAGACTATTTTTGCTGCTGGTAGTTTTTCATGTTTACAGGATACTGGGTCTGATCTAAAATACACAAACATAGCTGGAAATTTCCCCATTGACACAAATGGACTTTGGAATAGGTCTGTGTTTGGTTTTCTTCAGTCCAGGACCACAAACACTCTTACAGAATACATAAATATTGGTCCTACAAAAGAGAAAACTGAGGCAACACATTGTGACTTCCAAAATGTGTAGCAAATATGCAAGCACAGGAGGACGGAGTTTTATCATTAAAATGGATAGGTTCTCCCCAAGTAGAGAGTATATTAAGGGGGAAGAAAGCCACTCTAGTTTTCAGACAGAATTTAAGACGACAGATACTTGATTTTTTTTATTGTTTTGGTATGTTCTCACTACTAAGACTTCTTGCTATGCTTCCTCTAATTCCGCTCGCATTGGTGTTACCATTCACCTATTCTGCCTCATATTCCTGTCTGTTGTATGGCTCTGCATCTCCACTTACCAACTTCCACACTATCTTTTTTTACCATGTCTTTTCTTCATTATAAATAGGTAAATAAGTATATAAATAGTTTGTATGTGTTAACAATTGTAGGCATATTATCACTATGACCACTTTGATAATACTTTTGAGTGTATTTTTGTAGTTTTATTATACTGTAACATTTTGCATCTTTTTTTTTGTGGGGAGAGTTTGTGGGTTTTGTTGTTTGGTTTGGTTTTTTTTTTGTTAGAATTGTGGCTGAGACAGAAATGAAACAGGAAATTTAAAAGTGAAATGTTTTGTTTGTTCACAACCTGTAGCCTTTATATGAGGTTATTCAAAATACAAAAGTATATTCAGTGAAAGATGCAGAGAATGGAGGGGGGCAAAAGGGGTCAATATATATATTTTTTTTCTTCTTCTTCTTTTACCTATTGACAGTATCAAGGAGCTTTTATTTGGAGAAGGTGACAGAGGAGTTCAGACAGCAGGAGTCACACTTCAAAATGTCTGCTCGTTTGCACTTCCTTTCTTCCGATGATTAAATTTGGTTATTCCCAGGTTCACAATCCTTCAAAAATGTACCCTCCATATAATGCATAAAAATGTTTTCTAATATATTATATGGATTTTTTTTCTGCAAATACTTTTCTCTTACTCTAGTGCATTTAGATTAATGCAAAAGAAAACAAGCAGTTAGTAATTTCTTTCTGACTGTTGAATAGTTGTATTAATACTAACAAAGAAAGGTCTTGGATCACGCTCAGTTTGACCAGTGAAAAAGTTCCAGGGTATTTTTGTCCAGTGTCTGTGGGAATATTTCCCTGTAAATCTGTGAGGCTCATACAGTGATAGTGTAATATGTGATTAATGTGTCTAATTGGTTTTAAATACCAGGTCAGATAAATAGTACTTCAGTGTCTGATTGTTTATGAATAATATTTTTCCTGCTTTTTGGGTAAATTAGCTTGATAGTATCTATAAGCAAAGATTTTTGAGACCTTTATTTTGAATCAAAACAATACTTTTTCATTGTTGCACACTTTTGTAACTGTGGATAGTCATATAAGAAGGACTTAATGAACGCAGGTGCGGCTGTAATATTTCTAGATTCTCTAAGTAGGAATAAGAAATACTGAAAATATAAAAGAAAATTACTTAGAAAAATTTACAGAACAATTTTTTTGGTTGTTCAGACCAGCATCTGAATTTTTGGAGTACTTTCCAAACGGACTTTCTCAGAAACCTTTTATTAAGAGTTTTGCAGATCACCATGGTCATTTACTAGTGTGTTCTTTTGTCTTTTAGATTATGAATTTAGCAGTGACTCTGTCATTGCCTGTGTTCATACACAATATAAATATTCAAGAACAATAACCATCACAGTCAAATTAAAGGTGAAGCGGTTGTGGCTGTTTCATATGGCAGGGGCTGTCGTATTGAAACTTACAGGCCTCCAGAAGGCCTGATTCTTGTTATTAGGGTTGCTTCAGTATTTCTAGGGAGGAGCTTTCTAAAACCACAGGGAAACCCTGATCATTCACTGACTGCACCTGGATATTCCACTGTCACCTGCCCACCATGTGCCCCAGGCACTGATGCTCTCTGAAGCTGTCACGGTGGCCCTGCAGGCAGCTAGCTGTAAGGCTGCTGGTTAAATTGGGTGGTTGTCTGTTAGGGAGCAGATTTGAATAAAAAGAGCAATTACAAAATCCTGTGAAAGGATAGTGAAATAGGGAAAATTTTGCTTGATTAAATTTTTTCTTAATTTCCTTTTCAAGGAAGGAATCAGACCTATTTGTAGGACAGATTGGGAACTTAATGATGATTGGTGTTTCTGGACATTACTGTGTAAAAATACTGACTGTATACAGTGTCCATCAGTGTGACTATGGACACCCATAAGTTAACTTGTTTATTTTGGTGACAAGATAATGTCCTCCCTTCTTGAGAGTTCATTAAGAAGCCCAGCTTCAGTCCATGAGGAAATAAGATGCACATCTTCAGAAAGAACCTTTTTCAATACCTCATACATATATTTAATGTAAGTTTGTTTTGTAACTTCTGGGTGCTAAATTCCACCTGCCTAATGTAATAGAATTAGCAAATATCTCACATAATCAGGACCTGTACAAGTTTGCTCAGAAAGCAAGAATTGTGTTTCTGGAATTTAGCTTTCCTCTGGTCAGTGTCTGCTTTATTCAGATTCAGTAAAATACAATACTTAAGAAAAATCATTTTACTGTTGCTCTTTTACAGGTGCAACTTATGTTAAAAACATATCTGAGATATACATATATATATATGTATCAAAATAGAGATCAGTATGTTTAATGTGTGGGCTTTTAAGATTGTGCATAATCAAAGAGTAAATAAGCAGAACATAGTTAGTGTACATTTTACTGTCAGTTTTAATCTTCTTGGAGACATACAGCTGTCTTCTGCCATAAATGACATATTCCCTCTTTTCCTTCACTGCTGAGGGGTGATTGCCTATGCTCAGATTCTATTTTTATTTGACCCGAAGCCAATTGCGTATATTCTCTCAGACAAAACTGGACCTGGCATGACTTCTGTTCTTTAAAGATGCCCTCTTGAAATGATTGATATTTGCCAGTGACTGTCATACTGAAAATTAAGTCCTGTTCTTGCTTGATTTTTGTATTCGTTTCTCAGATTTAGTGTTGGATTATAAACTAGACATTTTTATAATTTGAAAATGAAAGCAAATAAATGCTGGAGTCACCCTTGCAGGCTAGGAGAAATCTCAGTTTGTTCCTTGGAGATGTACTCATTCTTAGAGAAAGTTCAATGTCTTTGATATAACTGCTGTAAAATATGTAGGTCTTTCTCTGATATTCCCACTCTGAGTTTTGGTTTTCAAAAAGATCAAAAATAGAACAGAGGATGAAAGCCTATCAGCCAAACCAGCACAGTCCAACTTCATATTTTAAATCTGATTATAAGAAGCTGTTAGCTGAGGAAGCCTTGCTTGTCCAGCACTTACGATTTCCCTTGAGCAGTAGAAATGCTAATTAATGTTCACAGAGCTAAAACTGTTTAGCTTAATGGAGACACTTCCTTTTGTTTTTGTCTTATTTTTACTCTTCCAAACAGACGGAGGTTTTCTTTCACATTAAAATAAATGTAGGCCAAAACTCAGCTGACATGATGATGAGACCAATTTAGCTGAGTACACAGACTAAAACGGTGTAGTCAGTGTAGCATTAGATAATAGTTAAGATTGTGCTCTAAGTTGAAATTCTCCTTCAGTGAAGACAAGCCCTAAGAGAAAGACGTCAGAGAGCATAGGAAGCTTACTAGGGCAGAGACTAATATGAATGAAATTAAGTGAAAGGAAAATGTAAGCTGTCAAGCTTCCTAGCTTGAGCTGTAATATACTGTGAAATAAATTTCCAAAAGAAATGGCAGAAGTAATGTTTTAACCAGAGAATGTAAGACTGCATAAATAGCTTGTTAATTGATGGTCTTTGCAGTATATGTGTTTTTATAGTATAAATACTATAAATAATGTTCCTGCATGCGTTGCATGTGTCTGTTGGTGATTGCTGCATCCAAATTTGTAATGTTACGGTCTTCCAAGTCAAAGCTGTGTGCAGGGAGAGTGGCTGTTAGCAGCCATTCTAACACTGTGCCAAGTCTACTGTTTATAACTGGTATTTTCATGAGATGCAACATCAGTGCCCAGTAGTTCATTAGCTTTAAATTACATTTATTATAAATGAAACTGTATAAATGAATTTTGTCTTGTCCTTTCCAATGGCTGCTTTCTGATCACTGTGTGTGAGAAATAAATCAACATCCATAAAAAATGGCTTTTGGGAAGCAAGATTTGATATAGTGATTTGAGTTTTTGTTAGTGATGGCTGAATTGTAATTATAGTTTAGAGTGTTTCCCATTAAAATTGGTAGCAACAGAATCACCAAACATGCTTTCAAATTACTGTATATTTTGGCTGAAAATTGTTGACTTCACGTATGTGTTACTTTCTTTTATCACCAAACAATGTGTATATGCTCTCAAAAGTAAAATGTTAGCATTTTAAAACTTGTTTAGACATTTCTAAACATATATCCATTCTTATGCAGATATGATAATCCTTTTTTTCAGTACACTTTAAGTGAAATCATAATGTAAATTTATGTACTAAAATGTATTTGTTCTGCATGTTTAATAATTGTTATAAACATTTGTCATAAGTCTGTTCATTGTTGCATGCACACTAAAACCTCCTCTGCTTTACAAATGGCATGCCTACTTCTCTTGCCTCCCACCCACCACCACCTCAAACCTTACCATAATAGTAGGAATCTGAAATCCATGTAGAAGAATAAGAAAGATTACTGCACTTGATGGGCCATTTGTATATTTCTGTTTTAAAGAAGAAATTATTGTGTTGTACATAATACATAACATATTTTTAAGAGGTATTCTTTGCACATTTTATCTTTGGAGCAAAAAGAAATTGTGTCTTTTAAGCTCCTGAACAACCTTTCTCTTTATTTATAAAATATGCTGCATGGGAAGAAAGTATTTCACGTTTATAGCCTGTCTGTTTACAAAACAGTTTGTTTGTGTTTTTTTTTTAAGTCCTAGGCCACCAATTCCTCTATCTCTCCTTCTATCAGAAGAAGAAGCAAGCATAGTAATTCAGTCCTTCTGGAGAGGTTATCGGGTAAGAGTAATCTATAATTATTTTGCTTGATGCTGAAAACCATAGGACTGTGAAGGCCCCAGGGAAAATCCTTACATAAATTTTAAGCAGGGGATACTATAAATAGCTGCTGAGCCCCCCATGGTTCACTGGCTTTGGATGTTGTTCTGCCTTATGCCTAGTGACTACAATTTTTTCACAGGCGTTTACGCTGATGTAATTTCACTGTATTCCTCAACCACAGAAAGTCCGCAGAAAATCAATTTTTGAAAGTACAATTAACACTGAACAGTTTCAATTTTTTTGTAGTCGATCCTTGGCTAGTTGCTAAAGGGTGAAGTGTAGTTTTGCTTTATGCAGGGATATGTGAGTGAATGTGGAGATGCATAAGGAGAACTGGTGAGGTCTGTTAAGAAATAAAAGCATACAGAAACAAAGGACAAAAAATTGAAACCAAGCACAAGATAGGAGATGTAGGAAAGGCATGAAGGCTGTTATTCAAGGAAAGGGAAAACAATATGGCAAACAGATGTTGCAAGCTATACTAGTAATGCAATCTCTGTCTATATGTCAGGTGTTCTTTAAATAACAATCGGTATAAAACCACTCTCTGTTAAGTTCTTCTTTGCTACTTTTAACAAGCATGAATATATGAGCGGCTACCATAATGTGTCGTGCAGCCAAAGGTGATGAAATACCTTGAAATTGTGTTCTTGACTGATAGATTTTTGTGACACTTCCTGCTTGTTCATTTTCCTTTATTTTTCTTTTTTTAAATGGAGATGGCATTGACACTAACATTAATTAGCACTGACAAGGTCACTGCAGGCATCCTTACAGTAGAGTATTGCAAAGGCAACCATTATCCAATAACAGTTACGTTTGCTGAAAAGTGCAAGGTTGCTCTGATACCTTGTGCTTCTACCAAAGCTTCTGAAGGGCACTATACTTCCTTGCTATATATATTAACTTCAACATTTTCACTGTAGTGTTTATCATTCTAAACCAGTTCCTAGGAATGAGAGAGAAACTGTAGCTATGAAAAGTAGGAGACATCAAAAATAATTCAGACTATGAAATTAGCTGTTACATGCTTTAGCTTATTAGCGCTGAAAGAACTTGGATTTTTAAAAATTAAAATTTAAATTAAAATCAGAATATAAAATACAAACCATTAGTAACAAGTTACTACATAGGGCTATGTGTTATCCTTGGGCTTTTAAATTAAGAGAACACTAAGCTTAAATGGGATTTCATCAGGTTAATGATAAAGTATATTATGAAAATTTACCAAAGAATTCAGATGAATTGCTTTTAAAGTAAAAAGCCCTGTCAGCTAACACTGATTTATTGTAGTAATAATCGAACACTTACAAATAATGCCCTTTTGCATTCTAAGGATATTATTGTGCCAGTATCTTAAACTTCTGATGTTTTTCATTAAACCTTGTTTTATAATTCACAGAATTTGGAACTTCTAAACACTGAAATAAAAATTTACACATTGTGATAACATTGAATATTTAAACACAGGCATCCATGCATGTTTTACATGGCACTGTGACAAAGAACAGTGTACTTCATCATTGGTCTTCTCAAGGTACACTTTAAAGGATGTAAAATCACATGCCATAGGTACTTGTTTGAAAGGTGATCGGAGAAGGATTCTGGGCTCACTGTTGGATTTCGGAAAAAGTAAAAGGCTCAGAAATATGGGCAGGATAGTTTTGTCTTAAACAATGCTGTTCCAAATGTGAACCTTGTAAGTTTTTTATTCATAAACAATGTCATATAAAGCGTGAGAAACCACAGCAAGTTATTTTTCTCAGACATGGCTTCTATGGACTCAGACCACTTTTGAGGTATTTCATTAACCATATTGAAAAAAGCAGTACGTTCATCCTAGCTGAAGCAAATTTCAGAAAAATACTTGTTTTGGTAGTAATAATTAATGGCTGCCATCAACAGAAGTCCTTGCTACAATCTTTCATACAAAGACATTGAAGAGTACTTAGAAATCTGTTTCATGTTTAATCAAGAATTCAATTCCAGAACAAACAGCAGTGGAAGCTACGACTGCTGAGTGCTCTAAGGAGATCAGAAAGGAAGATGTTATCTTCAGGGCTCTCTTTGAGGGCAAGGAGGAACACCCAAATAAGACCTGAGACAGCTCTGCCATCAGAATTCTTTCTTTTTACTTCTCACTGTCCTCTTTTATTGAGGTTCCATTCATCTGTCATGGGCTAAGGCAGTATTCAGTACCTGGTGAAAACTCTTGATTATTAGGTATTAATTTTCCAGGCACTTTTCCAATAAAAGATCCTATATTCCTTCACCCCTCTACTGCAGGATTTGTGCTTAGTGCCATTTGTTTTATGGGGTCTTTTTAATCTTTACAATTCGCATAACTGTTCTAGACTGAAGGGATTTTTCATTAATACAATTTCCTCTAGTGTCTCTGGTCGAAGCTTTAGTGTTATCCTTCTGCTGTTGTGCAACATGTTCTCACCTAGGATTGAAAGCAGCTTATTTTGACTAAGTCTTGTAATATCATGGAGTTTAAATTGGACAACATTATGTAAATATTCAGTGCTGGTTTATACATAAATATTGTTTGAGCAAAAGTTAAATCAGAATTGAAGCATGTTTATCTTTATATCTTTCAAAGTGTTGTTGTGCTTTTGCAGTCACAATTTATATTCCTTTCCAGCAAGTTGTGGCTACTAGCAAAGGCTCAAACCCAGAAGGTCACACACATATTTGCTGTTATTTACAGCAAGTATAGATTCAATCCAAGTGACTTGGGTAAAAGCAAACTTTCACTTCAGAGTTAAGAACCCTTCAGTGCTTCATGCATTGCTGGTCTGCAGGAGAGACACATCGCTTGTTTGGACAAGATTCGTGGCTCTGATTATTTGCCTGGAGATTTTGCTGCCAAGTCATGGCTTTTTAATCATGGTAGAACTGCACAATGATTATAAAACAGTCTGCTTTCTGAGCAGTTAGCACAACTATGCGAAATTAAAATCTAATTAAGCATATTCATAACATGTTGACAGTATTTTGTTAAGTTCTTGTTACCTGTTTTACTGCAGGTGGCGTATCTGTGTTCATTTTCCTTTTCTAAAAAAATCTGTTCTTTCTGGGAGCTCATGTTCACTGCTTGGATTTAATGTTGGACTTTGGAGTATTTGAGTCTATCTGACTGTGCATTTATCTCAGAATCCTGTATTTTGCTATGTATTTCACTATATTTTCACTGTTTTATTTCTCTAGGGAGAGTATACCGAATCTACTATAATTGCCTTTTATCTTTCAACTGTTAAAGACTTACTGTCTTAATTTTCAGTATACAGAGATCACTGTGGCCCTGTCACAGGCCAAAATACAGGTCTTAGATCGCTGCCGTTGTAAATGGACACTTCATTTTTTCAAAAAATTAGTATTTTAGACATAGAGGTAGTAATTTTTCTATCTTCCTGCCTCTTTTCTGTTACTGTCATTTATATGTCACATGAGCATTCCCTTAACCCTTTCCTGTGTATAAACTGACTCCATGTAATAGGGAATTACAGGTTTTATAAAAGCATACATGACAGTATAAAAGAAAAAAAATGTCTCTTGCAAGCCTAAAGAAACTATCCTGTGTTTGGGTTTATATTTTTTTTGAAAATAGTTATTTTATGGGTTTAATATAAATTAGTTTTGATTTTTTTTTGTATAGCTGAAAGGAAGATCACTAGTAACAGTAACTTCTTTTTTTTAAAAAAAATTAAAATATCATATTAAACTTGTAAGAACTTCTTATGACTTTTATAGAAGATAATACAGAACTATATTACTATGATGGGATATTATTAGAGGCCTAAGAGGTATCTGATGTCAAGTCACTGAGTAAAAGTCTTGCCTGTCTTTGTTGATCACGTAACCTTGTATTGTATTTCTGCGCTGCCAGTGCACTATCTACCTGAAATATAGCAAGTTATCTTCCAAGTGGATTGAAAAGTGCTGTGAGAGTTCAGCTACTCTCTATTGCATTCTTAGCTGCACCACAAAGGAGAAATTCTGTGTGGAAAGAATACTTTCGATAAATAATTTATATTATTTTCTTTAGGTTGGGTGGTTTTTTTGTGATTTTGTTTGGTTTTGGCTGTTTAACTAGTGGAAAACTAAGTCCTGCTCTTTTGCTCTGTATATATCTCAGGAAAGTGGGAGAAAACCAAAGTGTAATGGTGTAGAATAACGGAGTTCAAATCACAGAGCAAACTCATTACCATATCATGTAAGAATGAAATAAATACAAGAAATTTTCTAGAAAAGTAGTCAGCTTCCTGAAATCCAAAATGTGTCCAGGACAAAACAAGCTTATTGCTGCTTGTTTCTACCATGTTACTTAATTTCAGCCTGAATTACTAGGACACGAAGTCCTAAAACATAATGACATTTTATATACATAACATTTAGAAAAAATAGAAACTGCATTTTTAATAATTCTATTATAATTTGAATATGACTTTAAGCAAATAATCACTTACCAACATCTAAGCTAATACTGGCATGTCCCATTCCCACTGCTGTTAGAAGGACAGTATCTATTCTAGATTTTTGCTCTAGCACTGGAGGTAGTAATTGTGTCAATGACGAGGTAGACAACTGGCAACACACTGCTAATTAATCAAATCCTGCTTAGAACAAGTTTAAGTAACAGAGTGGTAAAGGCTGTTGATGCAAAGCTAGCTCCTTCTTATATTAGTAGGATCCACACCAGTACAAAAGCAGTAATAAAAGAATTCAGCATAAATCTTAAATGGAGTCAAGGCCTGTGACTATTGTCATTTTATGTAGAAGCAGAATTACGCCCTTCATAGGGATGATTGCCTGACAAAGAATAGCTACCATGTAATGCATTCCAGTTACTTTAAATAACAAATTAATGGCACTCCAGTTTGTGAAAATTGTGTGGCTGAGATTGTCAGTAAGCCTACATTAGCAGGTGTGAATCAGTTTGCTGGAATAAATTTCCTGCTGTGTGACCCTTCATGCTCCTCTTCAGTGGATGGAGTCAGTGGGTTGGTTTTGTAGTGTTGTGGTTTTCTAAAGGCACTAATATGCTTCAGCATAATGCTTTAAATTTTAATTAACTCAATGAATAAGTATCTCACTGAAATCACATTCTCAGGAGTCCTTGGTAATCAAAATGATCCCCTAATTGGCATATTTATGTTTTCAATGGGATTTGTCAATTATGTGGTTTTTATTTCTGTATAAGTTGAAAACTGTAAACCTCTGGGATTCTGCTTTTATGTCAGGCCCAGCAAAAAGGATGGATGTCATGTATTTGCCCAGCCACAGCCCAATGAAAAAAATCATCATATTATGTAACATGAATGTAGGTAATTTCAGTTGCATTTTCTGTTTTTTCTTTCCCAGGTCCGCTGTGATAGTGAAATACAAGAGCTACGTCAGTGGCAACAGCAGTTGAGAGAGGACAAAAACATTATTAAGAAAGTGAAAGAATTCTGGACTAAGCAGGAAGCCAAAGGTAAGTGAATTAAATTTTTGTGTATTTTAATTATTTATTTTTTTAACATTGTGTCGGGTTTTTGTACTTTGAGTTGTATAAAAAAAGAGGACACAGAGTAGGAAACTAATCCTGAGTGAGAAGAGAAGGTAATGTCTGCTGGAAATGCCTGGCTGTTTCTTTACTTAGCAGAGGAAGTCACTGCTTCCTCTAAGTTAGTTGCCTGTATAGCTGAAAGTGGCAATGAAAATACAGTACAGGGACAAAACTCAATAATTCAGAGGACTATGACAATGTGCTGGCACAGTATTTCCTAGGGCAGGATCAGATCTCTACCAGCTACACAATATGTAAATACTGATTTTTACCAGGTGGGCTGTAGTACCCAGTTCTGAACTGTGGGATTTCTCTCTGGTAAATGTTCTATTGGCATTTTCCTGTAGTTCGTTACAGCAGAAATTGGCCTGTACAGTTCTAAAAAAAGAAAACAAACCCAAACTACCCAATGTAATTGCCAAGGGAAATGAGGGCAGATTGCTTAAGAACCAACACTGTAATAGGTTTCCTTTTTGCCCTGATCGTGGACAAGGCTTTACTGACAGGGCCAAAGTTATTGCTCATTTACTCAGGCACAGTGGTGTAACTATGATTATTTGCCCAGCCTCTTTGTCTGCTAATGCAGGAGGATTCACTAGCTCCTCAACCAGTCTACGTTTTATCAGCCTCTGTGGGCTGGACTCAAACATGACACATGTAGGGATGTGAACTCCACACTGATAGATGGAGGTGAGAAGAGGTCGTTCAGCTATGTAGTTCATGTGTTGAAAAGGGAAAATTGTGTTGTACTGGTCACCATTGTGTGGTCCTTCAGTCTGATGGCACTGTAGCAGATATGTTCTCAGATGGCTGATCTTTGTCCTGAACTACATAAGAGCATTCAGGGTGCAGTTTCCTGCAGTCCATTGGATCAAACTGGGAGCCACTAAAAGGGTTGATCCTACTCTGTAGCCCTTGCATCAGATTTAGTGACTGTGTAACTGCACCATGGGTTTGGATCAGTGAGGGGGTTTGGTATGGGGCAGGTTAGTTTTCCACAACGTTGTTGCCACGTGATAGCTTATCTAACACGAAGGAGAAAGTGAACTGGGGAGAGAGAGGGGAAAATGACTTTCAGCAGCCCACAGCTTGGTTAAATTGAGCAGAATATGAGACGGTATTCTCATATCTGGTTACTGTTCATGGCTGAGGAAGTGCCAATCTCCAAGTGATTGGCAGGGAGTTGAAAGCAAGGGGCCAGTCACGGCTTAGGTCTCTTCAGCTCAATACACAAAAGAACATCTGTCAATGCCCTCTTTCTGAGCCTGGTTTTCATGGGACTTCAGTGGGAAGGGAAAGACTTACATTTGAATCCCTGCAGGGTGAGAGAGTTTAGAATTGGGTTTCTGTGAAAGGTTTTTAAATGCTGAGTCCTGGTCAGTTAGATGCCTACTATCCAGAAAAATCTACAACTCTGGATTTCAAGTGACAGAAAATTGCTGATGTGCAACCTGGAATTAGGCAGCTTAAGGTGGGGGCTGTGTCCTGTGTGTTGCCTAATGACCTAGGCAGCTTTTCACTCAGTATCAAATATTTGCGGGTCACCATTTGGAGCTCTTTCTCTTTGCTGTCTCTATAGACCATGCCATTGTTTTGTTGTTTCATCTTCAGGTGCTCAACTTCTACACGTTTAAAGTCTAAGCTGAGACATTGAATATGTTCTGCTGGGCCTTCACTCAAATGTCGAGTTTTTTTCTTTCCTTATTCTCTACGCTATTTAACTGTTCATTTGAATTAAATGGAGTTATTGTACTTATGCACAGATACAAAATAGGGTATTCTGGAATTAAGTGTTTGACACCCTCACAGTATGCTTTATTTTAGAAACTGCAGTAAGACTGTCCGTACATAAAGAGTACTTATTAACACCACTGCTGTAGCAATTGGAGCTTGTTGTAAGTGACTAGAGCCTTGCAGTTCTTCAATAACTCTAGTGATCAAATCTTTTGTGGCTATTGTTATTTTCAAAACCTGCTTTTTAATAGATGATACAATTAAAACTTCCCTATGAAGCATTTTAATTATAAAATAGTCCATGCTCTGTAAATGTCAAAGGAAGTAACAGCAGTCAGGTCATTAACCTGATGCACTGCAATTATTCTTTCACTTTTTATTGTGCATCCATTCTATCTTATCATTAGTTACAAGTAGATCAGGCTAAAAGGATGGCGTGAAAGTTCCACACATTTCCCTTTCTGATTGCAATTTTCTTTTGAAATTTTTGCCTAAAGATGAAAGGAGAAATCTGTTACTAGTAATGATCATTATAACAACTGGGATTACAAAATAGACCCTTGTTTTCAGTTTTCCTTATTTTGATGGGTTTTCCTTCCCACAAAATAAATATAATAGGCACCTGGGCCTAATAATAATGTTTTAAACAAATGCTAGACTCTTTCTTATATGAAATCCCAGCACTTCCGGATGGGCTACCTTTTATACTGAAGTTACAAATTGGTAAATTCTCCATGTTTTCAAGCTCCCCCACTGGCAAATTTTGGATTCCCTGAACTTCTTTTCTATTATTTCCTACTTTCTTGCATATCTGTTGGACAGCATTAGTTTTTAGGACATAATCAGTGTAAAATTGCAGTTATACTGTGTTATGTTTGCTGTCAAGCCTTCTGAAGTGTATGCAGAACACCAACTAATTCTACAACCAGAATTGGGTAAGTAGGTATTTCCACTGGATATTTTCTAATGAACACAGTGTTCAGTAGTTATAGTGTAAATCTTTCCAATAAATATCTTAATACATGGTGCTATTGTAACACAATTTCTCCTCTATTGTGGAACAGTATTTAAAACCCACTCTCACACAACAGTACTGGGAGCAAACATTTTAAATTGTTCCTCTGGATTTCTGAAGTAAGGCACATTTTGTCACATAACCTGAAGAGAATTAGTGGCAACTCTCATCCTCTAGGACAGTGATGACTGTTAAAAAGCTGCCTCTATGCACCTCCTCCTTTAGTCCTCTGCAGTGCTTACCTGCCAGTCACGTGCACAAACTGGTACCACAGGGTGATTTAATGTTTGCAGTTGAGAATCATGTTCAAGTACTGTGTCCACCGTGTTCCCCAGGGCCTGGACAACCTCAGCAACTCCTCCCGGCTTACCTGTGCTAGACAAAGCTCTTGCACAGAGCGGGGTCCGTCTCCAGTTTTTCTGCTTTCCCAGCGATGAGAGATGGTGACTGCAGTATTTGATACTGGCTAGTTCATGGTTTGCAAGTTTGCAAGTGCAAGGAAAAGCATTTTCCCGCTGGAAGTACTTTTCCTTGCCCAAACAACCATTCTTTGTGATCTCCAGGGAAAACGTGTGAGCCAGATTGAAACTCTGGCTGGCTAGCTTCAGCTGCATTGTGCTATTTAATAGAATGTGTCCAGTAAAATCTGCTTCCATGGTAATATTGCGAGATTTATACCATATGTATCATTCCCTAAGTTCACTAGAAAATATCCAGTGGAAAAATCTGCTTTTCCAATTCTGATGGCAGAATTAGTTGGTGTTCTGTGTACACTTCAAAGTGCTTGACATTCTTCCAATGTTCCTTCCCAGTGTTAGGAGTTCTTGTCATAAGAAGGGAATCTCCATTAGTACCAGTACTGATACCAAGAAATTTCTTCGAGTAGATATTTAGATACATTGAGAGGCAGGCTTATAATGAACGACAGTAATGAATGACAACCTCAAAAGCGATTCTGCATGTCTACACCACCAGCAGTACCGCAATGAAAGCTGTTCCTGCAGCTTGTATTTCAGCTGTGAAGGCTTAAGTGTGGATTCAGTCTGCGGAGTTCTCAGAATTTTTTAAACCATAAAGACAGTTAAGTATCAGCCGGTATCAAAGCTGTCATAAAAGAGTAATTTTTCAAAAGACATTGTTTTCAAAACCTTCCTTTATGTGTCATGGCCCCCTCAGTTGCCTTGCTATTACAGTATTATATATTGCAAGGTGTTATGAGCTGACACGCTTTTCTGTGTCTGCACTGTGCTATGTTCAGGACCTTTTGATCACTGCTTCACTTAATTATGAAATGTTCAGAACAAGAAGAATTTTCTTCAGGGCAGTATACGTTATAGTACAAATACTGAAACTGGAAGACTGTCATGATTTTTTTTTTTTTTTGGTGATAGGAGTTTGTTACAGGGGCTGCATAGATTTTCCAAACATTTATTCGTATTTATATTGCAGTTTTAATCCACAAAAAATCAGGTTTTATTTACCAACCATGCAATTCCCTAAGGGATATTTTATAGCTGAAAATAATTAATTCTGAGAAGCAAAATCATACATCATAACAGGAAAAAACTGCATTTAAATGTGTGTATATATACCGGGTGTTTGTATGCAGGAAGTGAAGTGGAATTCTTGGCTTTAGTAGCTTAGAGCTAGAAGATTAAACAAAGTAGTAACTAGTAACAGTGTACAAAAATGATGAAGAACAAAATCCATGAGAAAAGTTGTCTTCCAGCAGACTTGACTGATATGTAAAGAAAGCTTTGGCAGAGCAACCAAAGTTTTCTTCAAGTCTTCGTGGGATTTCATAGCCTATTTACTATGGTTTATTAAGAGTTTACTTTGAAAAAAAAAATAGGCTTTTAAAAAAAAAAAGAAGACATAAATAGATCTGTATACTATGATAAATTTAATCTCATTATAAATTTAAGAAATAAAAGCCAAATTATTCTCAGTTTAATTCTGTCAGTTGTTGGAAAAATTGCGTTCCTGAAGGTGATGATAGAAGTTGACCTAGCAGGCTTGATAATTCATTTTAAATGATTGTAGTTTAATGTTTGTGTTTTGGACTCTCTGTTTTCAATTTGTTAACATTTACATCATCTCGTCAAGGCATGTTTTTTCACATGTTCCATTGTCCACGATATCAGTAAGAGTTACAAATGCATGTTTCCCATTTATTTCTAAGAAAGAAACCTATATATTTACAACATACTACTGTGAAAAAGGATGTATATGGAATACCATATACATAATCATCTAATAAGATGATTATCCAGTCAGAGTTTACTGTCTTCATGCATCTTAAAGGTGAAAATTACAAGTGCATTTTCAGAGGACAAGATGAAACCATTTTCAAAATGTTGCAACTAAGAAAAGTAGGGTGTAATGGTGGACTGTGTCATTTGGCAGTTGAATTGATTCAAAAAAACCTCCTGTCTCTGAAATTCAATCTTTCCATGAAGTGTATTTATGTTGTTTTGGAGAGTAAGTACTGACAAGGTTTCCTTTGCCTTTGCCAATTGTTCCAAAAGGAAAAACAAATTTCCTTTTAATCACTCTCATAGAGCTTTCCTGTCATCAAATCAATTATTTTAGGACTCTAGGAAACACAGCTGTTTCACCACTTCAAAGAAAGTTGTAAAATTGCCCCTTTTCAATTTTTTTTTCTTAAACCAGTGCAAGTTCATATTGCTTATATCACATTAGCTTTCAATATCATCACATTGTTTCTGTAATTCCTTAACTGAGCTCTGCTAAGTTAATTTAAGGGTATCCATACATAAAATAGCCTTGGGGCCCAGACAGATGGCTATTTGGAAACAGCTGTACTAGTTTGAGAAGTTACTGTCCAGGGGTTTTCATTATCAATCTCAGCTGTGATGCCATAATTAATTTTGTTAGTGCTCCAGCTGCTCTTATTTCTGCTATTATTATTCTGCTGTTTATTAGTGTTGTTAAACCCTGTTTCATTGTAAAGTCAGCAAGGTTAGTTTAAACTGTTTTTACCAGTGATTCAGTCTAACACAGCTGACTTTGCACTGAAGTGCGTTGTGAGTACTCATACAATAATAAACAGCATAACACAACTACTTCTTAACCTTGTCTTTCTACGTATTTGGTTTAACTAAATTAATTAATCCAATTAATTCAATTAATCCCCTTTAATTAAATCACTGAGCTCTTCACATCAAGCAGACAAAGCGTTTATTGTTACTGAAAACTCAGATGTCACAAACAAAGCATTAAGATTCATGATCAAAAGAAAAAGAAAAACATTTTAAAATAGATATGGCAATTCATTACAAAGTTAACTACATTAACAATAACAATGAAATATCTCTTAAATTTATATGACTGTAACCCTGTTTATTAGATGCTGTAAAAAGGGTTGAATCTAACTGTAGGGGATGAATGGTGAGCTGCCAAATAGCTTTTAGAAAATGCTGACTCGCACAGTAATGTGATTCTATTGACACTACTAGAAAGATCAGCATACCTTCCATGAAAATATCAGCCAAAGACTCGGTTAATGTGGGCTAACAGTCAGATTCTGCTTTGTTGTGGCTTTCAGCACAATGCTATGTATAGCTTATTTCAAGGGCATGTTTTAGGCAAAGACGTATAATTTTATGAAAGTGTGTTTGTATAATCTAGACCAATGTAATAATCAAAAAGGATATTAAGAGGAAGTTAGAAATGTAAACTGATTTTAATTAACAAATCCAAAGGCATTCTTAATTTCTTTTTCAGGTTTCAGAAAGTTGTTATAACATGTTCATTATTATTGAAACAAATAGTGAAGTTTTAGTTTTCATTAGAACATAACCAGAATGAAACACTTTTGGAGTTTTTTTCAAGTAGGGACCAAAAGTCTTGATTTTTATGGGGCAGCTAA